CACACGCGCACGCACGTCGACACACAAACCCACGCACGCACGCACGCATGTACGCACGCACGCACGCGCGCACACACACACCGCGGAAGATCGGATCCCAGGGTCCTTGTTGTTTCATATTTACTTCGTCAAGAGTAATACTTCTTTTTCTTTAACTGAAATTTACTTTAAAAATACCGTCCTCTGATTCGTTACAGTAACTTTGCTGCGAACCGTAAAATGTTCGTACCAGACGCCATCTTTTTTTCTAGCAGACGAATCAATATTCATCACGTGACAAGTCAATACTGATCAAGTCACGAGTCAATATTCGAGGTCAGTGTCAGTCACATGATCTCAGGGTCTAAATTGAAATGAATTGTTTCGTCACGTGATAAACATTAACCAATGGAATTGCAAGGTTCTCAATAACAATAAACCAAGCTACAAAGCAGCTGTCACATCTATTTGGTGAAAAGATATCCCAGAGATATTCAAACTGCACTTTACGATTGTAACTGTAAACTACAGCATACACATCAAAGAAAATACTAAATATGTACAATAGTGTTGAGGTCGGACTCCAGGCAACCTCCATTCACAATATAGCGTGTTCACTGATAGCAGTGTGTTGGGGGTTCTGAGCAGGAGTTTCGTTGACGCAGGGATCGCATCTTCATAAATGAGTCATGTAAGTCATCAGAATCAGTCGGCTATCATTATGCTTGTGTTTGTTTTCCATTCTTGTCATACGACTACGTGGAAAGTCAGATGAATACCAACTGTCTCAAAATGTTATAAAAACATCCTAAAAAGGATTTCGCGAAATGTCCCGAAATGTTTAAAACGTGTTTTATTCACTGAATGTGTATGTTTAAAAAAGTGTTCGTAAAATGTTTTAAAAACGTTTTCTGTAAACATTTGGCTATAACGTATCGAAAGAGTTTTGAAAACGAACCAGGTCGTCGGAAGAGCCATGTTAACAGTTAGTTTGTGTTTTGCTGCCTATGTTCAAAACGTAAAACACCAAATAACTGTTAACAAGACACATATGACAAGTAGGCAGAGACCGCTTCCCTTTAGGCTTGTACTGCAGGAAACAAAGTTAGAATGGCAGACATGCTAATCATCACTCTGTTTTCAACTTCCAGTCTTGTGATGTGACCCCTCAACAAAGAATTTCAAGACTTAATTCTGTAAAAAAAAAATATATTAAAAAAAACACTCATACACTTTACGAATGTATTGATTGCCAGAATCTTCTTTTGTTTGGCTTTTATCCACTTTTCTGAATTACAAAATATGACAACATCAAGAGCAGGTATATAAAATATATTTAACCGAAGAAACAATAATCATTTGGAGATAATGTTTAATCAATATTATAACAATAATGAATATGCAAGTGTTTGGTGGAAACATAGTTTAATATTCATTCAGAGACGTAGCCGAATATTTGATGTGGTAGCTCTAGCATCATGAATCACTTTGAATACAAAAGGTGGTGCGAGCAGAGAGAACAGAATACACCCCATCCACTTAATTGTCAGCGGCCGAGTGCAGATACAAATCCAATTTTAGCATTTTTCTAAATCCTAAAAAATAGATCATAAGGATTATATGAAACGTTAACATAATTCACAGCCCCGGGGTTATTGGGTGTATTACATACATACCCATGAAGATCCGGGTTAAAATAGCTCTTCAGCAACCCCTGCGTATACGTACGAGGCGACTTGTGGGATCGGGTGGTCAGACTCGCCGACCTGGTTGATGCATGTCATCGTATCCCAGTTACGGCACGCATTGGTTCGTGAAGACAATTCTAACCCGGATCTTGACGGGTTACTTAATCAACACTTCTTATTTTAACACTTAATTAACACTTCTTATTGTAACACTTAATTAACACTTCTTATTGTAACATTTAATTAACACTTCTTATTGTAACACTTAATCAACACTTCTTAGTGTAACACTTAATTAACACTTACTGTGGGTGAAGCCATGTATGTTGATAAACTACACACACAGTGTCAACTGACAACTGTACTACCATGCAGTCTCTTGTTCCACACCTAGGCGATTTTTCATTCAAAAAGTGTGCAAATATATCTGTATAGCAGCACATTTATGAAACTCCGCCTCGTTACCTGGAAGGTGATTTGTCATTGGCCAGTACTGACCACGCCTCTCCCGCCATGTACACAAAAAACAATGTAACACAAAAAGAACATTGTTTCAGGTCAACATATCAAAACATAACCACCACAATGAAGTACAGCGTTGATGTAACACTCTGCCTCTACAACAAACCCTCCTAACCACTTATTTGTATCCACAATACCAAACAGCATTCTCCCTCGCCGTTGTGTTGCTTATATATTACCGATACGGCCTCAGATTGTATTCTCTCACTCACTCACTCACTCACTTAACGTAATCGGTGGGTAAGTTATCTATTTCTACTTTAAGAAAATTAGATGAAACAGAAATTGTACATATAGTAAGATTGATGTACAGCAGAATGAATGTTGTAGGAATCAGGTGCTTGCTTCACAGAGTGTTTACACCCAGACAGTTGTTTAGCCTGTCAGCGGGGAGAAAAAAACGTCTGGACGTAACCATTTCTAAAAAGCGTTTCAACCGATAGGCTTGTTCTATTTTATCAGTTCTGTTTTATCAATCTTTGTCACCTTATTTTGTCACATATTTGTACCCTTGTTCCTTATCAAACCAAACACCGTCTAACACATGCAGTACTGCTGTGTCGGCTGCAGTTTCGGCCTCAGATAGTAAGCTGATCTGTGATGATTGTACTACCGCCATCGTTTGGTACATGTAAATTATGACAGTGCTACATAGGAAAGTTTGCCCGACATAGAATTACAACTGTGTTGCACGAGCTCCGAGTCAAGTAGATCTGTTGCTCTTCACATTGCTTTATCATTACATTGTCATAACTGAAATATTAATCTGTTTCCTGACGTATGTCTATATTTGAATTTAAGGAATTACCGAAAATACCATAAACACTGCAACCCGACACACCAAACGATGTAAAATTATCCCCTGAGTAAACGTCGCATCAAACGTAAAATAATTATTTTAATTACATAATGCTCCCTTGTCAACAGGACGATTATTTGTGTCGTTAGAAATTAAAACCTCTCGATTGAAATTATGGCAGTGTTTTCATAGACATGCCAGAGGTATTGCCTTAAGATGATAATAGATCTAATTGCAACAATTTCAGTATAAATAATGCAGTATTAAGTTAGAGTCTCTGAATGAACATTATCTTCTGATTAAGACAGACGTTGAAATGCGCGACAAATTTATTACTACACTGGTGGGCGCCAGTCCGTTCTGGTCCAAATTTATAACGGTTTGCACTGGCAACTATACATCTGATTAATGATTTTATCATATGCTTGATTTTCACTTGAAATTATCTCAAGGTAGAGATATTGTACTAACGCTTCAATAGTCAGCACTTTAAGAATACCGTATTTCCTCTATTAGACACCCAGGATTCTATTTATTTCGGACAAGCCTTTGACCCGGCGTCTATTCGAGGCCCGGCTTCTATTAATACCCCAATTTCACTATGACCACGAATGGCCCGAATCGTCACGAAATGAAAATATTTTGAGTTTGTAGATATCCGTAAATATACCTCAAACAAGTCCGCAGTCCGAATCTTATAAGAGGCCCGGCTTCTATTTTTTGCACTGAACAATTGACCCGGCTTCTATTAGAGTCCCGGCGTGTAATGGAGGAAATACGGTATTTCTACATATACAGATGTATATTATTTTTAGAACATTCGAAATCAGATTGCCCCAAACTGCTGATGTGTAACTTAGACATCTTATCTTCAAACATGGTAGGAGACTACCATGTCGTTCCAAATTCATTCCTTCCCCCTGTTTTCATTGAACGAATTCACTCTTACACAAAATAACCCAACCACAGATTATGTTCGACAAACTATTGCAGGAAACTGTGATTGTAAGAAAGACATTATCAAGTTACTTGAACCATAATCGGATCATTTAAGTTTCAATCAGACTTAATAATACCAACTCCGTATATTTTGACTTTCAATTTATAACTGTAGTATGTTTATGTTCTGAAAGAAAATAACAATATTTTCAGTTACTCCAACATTTAACACAGAGTGAGTGAGTGAGTGACTATGGTTTTACGCCGCTTTTAGCAATATTCCAGCAATATCACGGCAGGGAACGCCAGAAATGGGCTTCACACATTGTACCCATGTCGGGAATCGAACCCGGGTCTTCGGCGTGACGAGCGAATGCTTTAACCACTAGGCTACCCGACCGTCCCTTTAACACAGAGAAGCAATAGATCTATATCTCAGCAAGTAATCACAAAAGCAGTGTACAGCTAAACACACTTAGATTCCAAGATACAAAACAGGATTCATGACGTGTTTCATGTTATGATTTATAAAGACACACGGGGCAGATGAGCAACAATCTCGGTGTGTGTTGTACGAGGGATTTATCCAGGATTCTAAACTGAGACAGATTGGGGATTAAGCGTTATTTTATTCAAAATTGAGATTATTAAGATCTTAGTTTGTTAAATTCAGTGTTTTTTAAACGTTGTATTTAACAATTGTAGGATCAGTGTTATAATATAAAACAAAGCATTAAAACTCTTCCTGTGTGTTGTCCTGGTATCAGTGAAATACAGCTTACCCCTACAAAGCCGTACGGTTAGACGAATTAGTGATAAATATATTAACATGGATCGGGACTGTTTTTATTCCGATTTGGGAATCTTTACTGACATTTGCTGCCGAATATCGGCTTTTGAGCAGGTCAATATTTATGCTGTGTTAGTGTATTTTATGTCATTTGTATTATGTCATTTATAGCCCCGTTGTAAAATAGGTCTTCGGCAATCAATGCTTGCCGTAAAAGACGACTATGCTTGTGAGAGGCGACTGACGGGACCGGGTGGTCAGACTCGCTGATTTGGTTGATGCATGTCGTATCCCGATTGCGTGGAACGATGCTCATGATGTCAGTCGCTCGATGGTCTGGCCCAGCCTTGTTTATTTACTGACCTGTCACATACCTGAAATATTGCTGAGTAAACAACAAACAAACAAATCATTTATAGTCATTTACCAATCACTGAACTAGGCCTACCTGATATTATACCTTTGCTACAAACACATTCATGAGTGAACATTTTAAGGGGCAAAATATTTGTCGAATGGCAATAAGTTATCTGAGGCCAGTATTCATGATGCTTTTCCTATGCTATATGTATATAGTTTTCTGACCACCATATTCTGTTTCAGCCCCGAGTGATTCGAGTTTGAAGCAACCTGTGAAGGGACAAGATTCTGATCGACACGGTAGGTGGGGGAACCCAGCATGTGGTAGATCGTGTCATTGTCCAACTTTGTATGATATTTGGTAAGATCATCATGTCAGCCAAGGCTAGGGGGATTCTACTCCGAAAATGTCCTACAAACAGTCTCTGCAATTTGATACATGTTTTATCCTATTAATTTATCAACAAATCAACAATTGCACTAATAGTATCATCATTTTTTTCATAAAGGTCAATTCAACAAGCAGGTGTATTGACACGCCGGATAGATGAACAACAATCTATACTTGTGTTGTATTTTTATGAGAGTCATTTCATTTATTTGACAATCACAAAACTATATATTTACACTTTTGCTATAATAAACGTATTTTAAATCTCGTTCTGTAGTAAACGTTTCACAAGGTCTGAAACTTGTCGAATTTAAACAGTGTATCCAATTAACTAGCTGATGTAAAGCAATGTAATAATACATATCATATTCAAACAGCAAATGTACTGACAGTGTCTGACTATCATCCTGTAAAGCTCAGTTCATACACAGATAGTGTTACAACTACTGGATGTAGAAGAAAGCACTTGAACAAATGTCACGTGAATAGATTATTCTTAGTTCAATACATAAACCACTCCCCTCATCGTTATATTGTTGTCATCCACACAGGAAGCGGTTCATCGTGTATCGATGTTCCTGTCACGTGTCAACACTTCGAGGTGTGAACACAGTAGATGTATGACAAAGATGTCTGGATGTGTACAGAGTTTACTTTGTGTTACAGCGACTCCATCACGAGTAGACCGCGACCTCTACGACGCCAGCGAGGCCGGGAACCTGGAGAAGGTGAAGTGGCTCCTGACTACACCGGGAGTCAACGTCAACTGTAGGGTGGGAGGGAGCTGGACACCGGTGATGATAGCAGCATACAAGGGACGCAGCGAGGTGGTGAAGCACCTTGTGAGAAAAGGGGCTGATGTGTCACTGAAGGACGATAACGGTAACAACACCCTTCACCTGGCCTGTGTTACAGGAAATGTAGAGACGGTGAAGTGTGTGCTGTCACCGAAAGTGGTGGACATCAACAGTAGAGGAGAGGGGAGCGTGACACCGGTGATGGAGGCAGCACGGTGGAGACACAGAGAGGTGGTGGAGTTCCTGGTGAGTGAAGGGGCTGATGTGTCACTGGTGGACGTGGCCGGTAACAACATCCTTCACTGGGCCTGTCGGGGAGGAGATGTGGAGACGGTGGAGTTTGTGCTGTCTCTGAACAAGGTGGACATGAACGCCAAGAACAGATCGGGGAGAACAGCGGCTGGCGAGGCGAGAGCCTATGGACATCAGCGAGTGGTGGAACTGCTAGTGTCCCGCGGCGCTCAGTGACGTCAGTGTCGTGTTTGTGTAGACGGCGGAGGGGGACATGATGTTACAGACAGTGGCGTGGTGTGCCGTGCACGTCGTCGTGTTATATATTACCGGATTTTGTAAGAATGTTTGTTGTGTTTGAGGAGAAATAAAACTTGATTAAAATATTTTTAGATATTTTGTCATTTGTTGTGTTTGGAACTTCGCATAATCAGGTAAGAAAGTTGCTAACTGAGTGTAAATAGAGATGATGTGTGAGTATTATGTACACACTGCATCTCGTAATACAATTAGTCTGTGTTAATTGTATGTGAAGAGTTTATAATTAGTCGTGAAACAGACAACAAACTGTTTGTTTACATCTCGCTGCACTCTCTGACCTCAGACTGAGGCAAGGTTCGACCAGCTGACGTGGCGCCAAATGTACAATGACAGTGACGTCACAGATAGTTGCGTCCATATGGATGTCAGTGTCGTGCTGTTTCATGATAAACACAACTTCGGGGTGATTGACATCGGACATTTTATAAAAGATGGTTAAATAGCCCAAACAATCCTAAAATTGACATCGCTCAATATCGGACATCATTAACATTTCTTAATAACTAACACTCAACTAACGTACGTACTATCACCCAAGAGTAAGTTTACGTAGAGTTAATCAAAAACTAGCAAAGTCGTTAATATAAATGGTTTTCAGCAATTATACTGATGTAAATGAATAAGGGTACACTTTGTTTAAGACACAGTCACGTGATATGCTATCATGGCTTTCCCTGCCTTGTCTGCGTGTTGGAAACAATGCACACAACTACATGTCAACGTTTGATTCTGACGTGTTGAATTTGTGTGCGCGCTATTCCCAATGTACCGACAGCAAAGTTTACTTCCCTATGTTTGTCATTGTTCCCTTATTCACTTCCATGAATATATAGTTTTCCCGTTTTCTTTTGTGAAGAAAAAACCCAATCTAAATAAACACAATAATGCATTCATCTTTCTGCCAGATAAGATTTTTTTTTACAAATATATTTTTTTTATTAAGGATACAAAATAAACAAGAAAACAGCGTTATCAATATCCTACCATGGGCATATAAGTATTTTGTTTGCATTTTGTGCGGTAATGCCCAATAAGGAAGTCAATATTAGCTATGGAAATAAAACAGTCCTATAAAGGGTGAATAAAAGACAGGCGCTAAGGCTGCTTTCTGTCATCAGAAAAAAATGATTAAATGTGTAATTAATACACAAAAGGACCCTCCTCTCGGGAAAATAATAAAAAGCAACAATTTACGAACTCAGTCTTCACAAGTATCTCTTAGATAGACGTGCAAACTTTCATCTATGTAACTTCAGTAGTTTCTCAGAAACGGTGTCCCCATTTTACGCAGTATGCACGCAGTATGAACGCAGTATCCACTCAGTATGCACTCAGTATGCACTCAGTATGCACGCAGTATGCACTCAGTATGCACGCAGTATGCACGCAGTATGAACGCAGTATGCACTCAGTATGCACGCAGTATGCACTCAGTATGCACGCAGTATGCACTCAGTATGCACTCAGTATGCACGAAGTATGCACGAAGTATGCACGAAGTATGCACTAAGTTGAAACGCACGAGCTTGAAGTCTGTACAAAAATTATGTAGGACACCAATTTTGGAACACATTTGAGATCATGACCAGCAACATCAGTGTGAAAAGTTTCATTTCTCTGGGTGGACGGACGAAAGAAAGAACTCCGTTCCTATATCCTCGGCCCCGCTCGGTGGTTCGTTTGTTGTTATTCCAGCTGTATGAGTGCGGTCTGTAAATAATCGAGTCTGGACCAGACAATCCAGTGATTAATATCATGAGCATCGATCCACACAATTGGGATCGATGACATGCATCAACCAAGTCCGCGAGCCTCACCAAGAGAACCGAATGTGCATCATCGTGTTGTTAGATTTAATTTTCGTGTGAATTAATCACGTGACACCGCCCGTGTGTCTTTTCTAAAGTTTTATTTGAGCAAGGTGATTATGGTGGGTTTTTAAGAATATTTCCTTACAAGACTCCGTTTTGTTCACCATTTTCGGATAAATATTTCTCTCTTCTTATGAAAACAGGCATAAGTAAAAGGAGATGCAATCACATAAGCGCTATAACGGGGAGTTGACGATAAATGGTCCTCTGCGATAACTGGTCGCTTGCCAGTATCTAAATTCAGCAAATCCTAAAGGTCTATGCACTGCCTCGCCATCGATGGAAGTGGCGGGATTCTTAGTTTGCTACTTTTGTTACATTTACTGTAATATTGAAGCATCCGAATGTGGCAAGTAAATTCTAGCAAGAGCCCTTGTTTGTAATCTAGATCTCCCCTAATTCACATCATTGTAAAGAACGTATCCTAACGGTGATAGACATATGACATTCATGTCAAAGTATGCATTCACTGATAATTGACCGTGAGTTTAATTTACCGATAAAGAATCCCGTCGAATTTGACAGTGTTTTGTTTACGTCAAAACAAAATTGATGAAAGTGGTCGTCATTAGTTCATGCACAGACTATTTCAAAGATGATGTTACAATAGATGAAAGATGGTTGCGTCCATGTAGATGTCAGTGTCGTGCTGTTTCATGATAAACACAACCTCGGGGTGATTGACATCGGACATTTTATTAAAGATGGCGAAATAGCCCAAACAATCCTAAAATTGACATGGATCAATATCGGACATCATTAACATTTCTTGATAACTAACACGTATACTAACGTACGTACTATCACCCAAGAGTAAGTTTACGTAGATTTAATCAAAAACTAGCAAAGTCGTAAATATAAATGGTTTTCAGCAATTATACTGATGTAAATGAATAAGGGTACACTTTGTTTAAGAGACAGTAATATGATATGCTATCATGGCTTTCCCTGCCTTGTCTACCTGTTGGAAACAATGCACACAACTACATGTCAACGTTTGATTCTGACGTGTTGAATTTGTATGCGCGCTTATCCAAATGTACCAACAGCAAAGCTTACTTCCCTACATGTTTCATTGTTCCCTTATTCGCTGCCATCAATATATATATTACCCTTTTTCTTTTCGCGGGAACTTATATCATTTAAAATTGTTAAGAAAAAAACCCAATCTAAACAAATACAATAATGTATTCATCTTTCTGCCAGATAAGATTTTTTTTACAAATACATTTTTTTATTAAGCATACAAAATAAACAAGAAAACAGCGTTATCAATATCTTTCCATGGGCACATGAGTATTTTGTTTGTTCGTGCAGTAGTGACCTATAAGAAAGTTAATATTAGCTATGGAAATAACACAGTGAAGAAAAGATAGGCGCTAGGGTTGCTTTCTGTCATCAGAAAAAATGATTAAATGTGAAACTAATACACACAAAAGGCCACTCCTCTCGGAAAAATAATTAAAAGCACCAATTTACGAACTCAGACTTCACAAGTATCTCTTAGATAGACGTGCAAACTTTCATCTATGTAACTTCAGTAGTGTCTCAGAAAACGTGTCCCCATTTCACGCAGTATGCACGCAGTATGCACGCAGTATGCACGCGGTATGCACTAATTTGAAACGCACGGGCTGGAAGTCTGTACAAAATTATTTAGGACACAAATTTTGGAACTCATTTGAAATCATGACCTGTAACATCAGTGTGAAAAGTTTCATTTCTCTAGGGCGGACGGGCAGAAGAACGAACTCCTTTCCTATATCCTCTGCCACACTCGGTGGTTTGTTGTTTAACGCCGCACTCAGCAATATTCCCGTTATATGACGGCGGTCTGTATATAATTAAGTCTGGGGCAGACAATATAGTGAGTGATATCATGAGCATCGGTCCACGCAATTGGCATACGTTGACATGCATCAACCAAGTCAGCTAGTCTGACCACCTCGTCCCGTTAGTCGCCTCTCACAAGCATAGTCGCCTTTTACGGCAGCAAAATTACATCGGAAGGAAGGCAGTCTGTACCAGACAATCCAGTGATTATGAGCATTGATCTACGCAATTGGGATACGATGACATACATCAACCAAGTCAGCAAGCCTGAAAATTTGAGTTTTTTCTCGTTATTTCGATTATATGTTTGTAATTTCAATTATTTTCTCGTTACTTCAATTTTTTTTCTCTTTTCTTCGATGATTTTTCTCGTACTTTCGATTTGATTGTCGTTATTTCATTGTTAAGCTTAAGGAGAAATTTCGATATTCTAGCATTAGGCTTTCGTAAAAAAAAGTGATCGTTGTGCCAGGATTTCGCTTGCACCCCTGGGGCTTGTAACGCAATCATTAGCAGCAAGAGCACTCGGTTTGGTTGGTTGGTTGGTTTGTTGTTTTACGCCGCACTCAGCAATATTCCAGCTCGAGTCTGGAAAAGACAATCCAGTAATTGGTATCATGTGCATCGATCTATACATGTATTCGATGACATGCTTCAACCAAGTCAGCGAACCTGACAGCCCGATCCCCCTAGTCGCCTCTTACGACAAGCATAGTCACCTGACTATTGCTGAAGACCTATTTTACCACGCATCTTCACGACTCCGCAAGAGCACAAACGGGGTCATAGAATAATAGTACTGACCTCGTAAGTGACCGTATATAGCTTGCTGCTATCTCGACACGTTCTGGGTCTACCCCGGACAATAAACTTGCATAGGGCGTGTAGGTTATTAAAGTTCCTGATTGTGTAAATTTAACAGTCTATACTGCCTAAAACGTGAACGACAAAAATATATATCAAATAGAATGGTATGCTTATTGAGCCAATATATGCAACGAATAGACGAACTGATCTCTCAAACTATGAGATAATGCTACAGTGTAAAATCTTAAGTTTGCTTTGATTACATTCCCAACCAGTGCAGTCTTCAGAGCACAGCCTTCATTCACACCTAATGCATGTCGCCTGATTTCAGCAGACACTTTGTATATGTGACAAAGACCATTTGTCATTTCATTCTAAAATGTATGAGGAATTCAAGGATGCATGTATCGTAGTTGAGTTTGAAATATTCGTGATGTTACAGGCGTCTCATTACCGGCACACAAGAAACGTGATTTTATAAACACTATCCAATATGGCGGAACGTTCACATAATTGGCGTTCGTATTTTCTAAAACATTTATTGGGTTATTTATAT